GCTGTGACGTATGCAGCCGACAAATTCGACCTTCAGAGGACGCGTCCTGTTGTTTTGGACACAGCCTGTGGGTCAGAAGAGGACTTTTCTGTGGGGTCAAAGGTCACCAAACACACCACAGCTTGTTTCCCCAGAGGAAGTCATTTCTGTGTTACTTCCTGTCCAGGAGTTTTACAACATTTATTAAAACAAAGTCTCTCCTGTCTTTACTTGTGTGTCTCACCTGTCTCTGCCTCACCTGTCTGTGTCTCACCTGTCTGTGTCTCACCTGTCTGTGTCTCACCTGTCTCACCTGTGTGATGAAGGTGTGGTGTATAACTACACTCAGGATGGTGTGAGGCGTGATCTCAGTGGGTGGGAGCGCTGCATCAGCATCCCTCTGGTCCGACCCGACATGTTCCACCTGCTGGCTCAGTGGGACCAGTACCTGGAGCGCTTCTCTGACGGACCCATGTGGGACCCTGTATGGTACAGGTAAGTTTCACCTGACACACCTGACACACATGATGTCCTCGCTGACCACTTGTCTGCGTCTCTCAGGTTTCAGGAGGACGAACACAACTGCTTCAGCTTCTGTCTCCAGTTCCTGAACAACGTCCTGACAGCAGAGGGACAGGAAGTCCTGAGCAGAGAGGACTTCACCCGGTGCTTCGTCCTGCCCCGGATCAGAAGGGGGTCCAAATACAGCACCCTGTACCAGCACATCCAGGAACACCAGTTCTACATGGTGGGCCGACAGGAGGACACAGGGTCCACCAGTTAAACCAGTTCAACCATCTTATAGCTTCCTCTAAACCAGTGTAACCTCGAATTCAACCGTTGTGGTTCTTTCCTCTGTTACCACGGAAACAGGTCCATTTGATCTGTTTCAGGCTGGGACTCTGCGGTGCTGCAGGTTGATTGACAGGAGCTTAGACCTGATTTCTGAACTGTATTTATTTTACCGAACTTTTCAAAATAAAAGATCCATCCATTATCTATACCTGCTTCTTCCTTTCAGGGTCAGGGGGGGTCACTGGTGCCCATATCCAGCAAGTGGGGTCTCTGTGGACGAGTGGGCGTGTCCCTGCAGACGAGTGGGCGTGTCTCTGCGGACGAGTGGGCGTGTCCCAACAAAAGGCAATAAAGCAACACACCTGATTTGACAGACTTTTTTAAAGCGACACACCTGACTAAACAAGCAAAAAAGGGGCGTTACTGTACGGCACCACCTAATTGGACAAGAACAAAAGGGGTGTTACTGTACGGCACCACCTGATTGGACAAGAACAAAAGGGGCGTTATTGTACGGCACCACTTTTTCTGGAGACCCCTACTTGGTTAACCTTAGAGTTGGGGTCAGGGTCAGGCTGTAAAGAGGTCAAGCAGGGTCTAAGGATACCGTCATGTAGACCTCGTAGACCACAGTGTTTATGCTTTAGACACGCCCACTCTTGTGACACGCCCACTTTGATTCTGCAGATGACCCCTTCTCATGTCCAGCAGTCACAGTGTGGGGGGGCGGGGTTAACCTGGACAGGTTAAAAATAATGGATGAAAAGTGTTTTTAAACCAGTAGAAGCAGATCAGGCTGCTAACGAAGAAAAAATGTGAACAAACTTCAGACAAACAAGTTTGTTTGTAACTTTTAATATTAAGTAAACATTTAGAAACAAGAACATTACTTTAGTATTAGATAAAAACACACACAGATAAACATGTAAATAATTGTTTCAGACCACAGACGGTGAACTAAATACTAATAACATCATTTCTGTTTATTTGTTTTCGCATTCAAACTGTAAGAGGAACTAAAGTATAAACTAATGTTTTAAGACGGACATATATTTTGTGACACCGTTGCTTCCGGTATTGAACGTGTGCAGCGCTAAGAGGCAACAAAACAATCAGTTACCATCAACGAACTGGATTAAGCTGAAACCTACGGACCCGGACCCGGACCCGGTGGGCGACATGCAGGCAGAGTTCCGGGCTCCCCGGAGGCGGACCCGGGTTTATGAGGACTACGAGGCTCCGCTGCCCGTTGACCTGGTCCCGGAAGAACGGAGGATTTATCGGGCGGACCTCGTCAACCAGCAGGTTATTGTGTGTCATCCAGACCACATCCAGCAGATCCACAACAAGGTCTGAGTCCAAAACTGTAAAACCTGAAGGCTAGCTCACAAAACCAGGATAGGGGATCAACCCGGGATTTTCCAGATCTCCTCCTGGCTGAATTAAGCCTCGATCCTGTGCAGCTAGCCTGCTCCAGTCAGGCTAACAGATAGGCTAACAGACCTGTCAGGCTAACAGACCTGTCAGGCTAACAGACCTGTCAGGCTAACAGACCTGTCAGGCTAACAGATAGGCTAACAGACCAGTCAGGCTAACAGACCAGTCAGGCTAACAGACCAGTCAGGCTAACAGACCAGTCAGGCTAACAGACCAGGCAGGCTAACAGACCAGTCAGGCTAGCAG